CATTAAATATGCCATCATTATGGCATTATTTAAAATGTTGGCATATTTTTCTCCGGTGATGGGAGCTGGTGGTGCTGGGGGTGGTAATGTTTTTTTTAATTTTATGATTTTTTTTATTTTTTATTTATTTTTTTTTATTTTTTTTAAAAAAATATTTTTTTTAATTTTTTTAAACAATATTTTTTTATTAATTTTCTATTATTTTTTTACGATTTTTAGTATTTTTTCGATTTTTATTATTTTTTTTATGATTTTATTATTAATTAAAACATTTCATAAGTTACAAGGGTATATTTGTCCAAACACACATAAATAGTCCTATTAAGGGAATTTAAAAAATGTAGTCCTATTTGTGCAATTTTTCCACTTTTTAGTCCTATTTAGGGAATTGACTCTTTTTTAAATGGGTGGGCGTAGCTCAATTGGTAGACAGAGGGTGCCACGAGGGTTAAGTTTCGGATTCGAATCCCAACAACTGTGATGAGATTTTACTATGCTAAAAAATGCATAGGGCCTCTGCAAGTATCTGAGCCAGAGCTCCACTCTCTATATTAAAGTCCAATTTACATCTTCCCATCTAACTGTCCGATCGGTGTTGGGGGACCCTCAGGGATGGAGTGTCATCCTTTTTTTTCTTTTCGAATGACTGTTTTTTTTAAAGAAATGCCATTTCTTAAATGTGGTTGTATACTTGTATTTGGCGCTTTTTGAATCTTTTAAAACTTATCATTCAATTTCAAAACCTATACAGGTTCTTAATATTCCACAACTGATTTAGGGATGTTTGGATCAATTCCTTAAAATTGCTTCTGCTTCTTCAGGGAGTAAAAATATATATTGAAGTGTTTAAATGCATGTGCAAAAGTACTTCTGGATGTTCCAAATTGCTCGTAAAAGCAATTTATTAGAAACTGAGGGAGACCAGGTTATGGAAAACCAATTCTAAATTTTACCAATTTATTGAAATTTTCCACAATTTTAATTTGGTTGATTTACTTCGATTTGGAAGAAATATCACCAAACTCGACCCAAATTATATATGATTTGATTTCGATTGAGTTTATTCAGTTTGGTAGAGCTCGGTCCGATCAAAATTAGTCTACTACAACCATCTTGCAATACAAAAACTGTCATTTTATTCAAATCTAAAAATAAACTAATATTGCATCTTGTACAAAAAGTGGGCATAATAATGGAAGTTTAATTATTTCAAAATATTGGCTGTTTCTCGATTAATATATACTGCTAAAAATATTTAGAAATTAATATTTTGACCTTGTTAAAAACTAGCATCATCAGATAATATAGACAATTTTGAAAAATATCTAAGATATAAATGTCATTAATATAACAATATTATGAAACCAATTTCTGAAAATCAAGTGTGTTTACTTTGATATGAAGAAGAACCATTCCAAAAAGTGTGAAAAAATGTACAGGTCGAAACCATGTAATTTCGTGCGCAGGAGAGTAGGAAGGAAAATCATCCACAGAACCCTCAACAAAAATACAAAAAAAATCATTAACATTACTTTTTAAAATGTGGTAGACAAAAATATTAATTAGTACTACGTATTTACTAGTGACTAGCTATAATTACGTTCAAATCTATATCATTGTAATTACTTGTAAGTTGCTATGATGTAAACTAAGTAATACTTTTGTCTAAAACTTATTTATTAGTAATATTTAAGGAAAACCCCTTTTTAAAAAAATGTATATCAAAATTCATAACTTTTTATATCTTTCATATGACACCAATATTCTATATACAAATTTTAAAAAACTCCCAATTTCCAACCGTTGGAGTTTTTTAGATCTGATTTTTTTTACAAAGACCCAAGTGCTAAAATTAAAGTCTTACCTTTTTACATTTTTCCATTTATTGTTAAAAGAATTCTTTTTTGGGACTATTCCGAAATACACTAACTTCGTTTTAAACTATCGCCCAACCCAAGGTAGAGTTAACTCAACACAAATTTTCAAATTAACTCCTTACGATTATATATATACTCCCTCCGTCCCAAATTGTTTTGTAAAGTCAACATTTTTTGGTCAACCAATAATAAAAGTCAAACCTCCTTATCCATAATTAACTCAATTTTTAATAATTTAATTTACATATTCAGAAACTACATTAAATTCTCTTCAAAGTTGCGAATTCCAAATTAAATTAGAATATAATTAAAAATTGACATCCTAATTAAGCAAATAAAATGAAACTGTTTGACCAAGAAAAGTCAAAATTGCAAATCAACTTGGGACGGAGGTAGTATATATATATATATATATATATATATATATATAGAGAGAGAGAGAGAGAGAGAGAGAGAGAATCCCATGAGAAGTCCTAATTAGGCTGAAAAGTGAGAAACATTCTGGACAATCCGATTGACTCATATCTACTGTCCGATTACATTACCCCAACCATTTCATTAATGGCATATTTGTTAATATCGTGAACTATGTACCTTTTTTGTTACAGAACATGTGTGCCTTTGTCTGCGTCTCATCCTCGAACTGCAATTCTATGGCTAAGCTGTTTCATCGATGAACTGCAATTCGAGCGTTGTACAAGACGAACGAGCAAGTTTTGGTGACGACGACTTCGCATCGAAGACATATCGAAGGTACAAATCGTCATCTTTTTCCCTAATCTGAACTACTAAAGTTTTTCCTCATCTGCTTCCCTAATGTATTATCGGCGATTGAATTTTACCCTTATCGACTTCCCACTGACTTCGATTTGGTTTTGATTTTGTGAATCATAATTTTTGATGTAATCTATTTCAATTGAACTTTCTTTCTACGAACAGTTTTTCTCGTTACTTTTTGGTCTCTTATTTTTTCATAACTCAATGGAAACAATATATTATGCCTATCTAGTGTTTGTATGAATGTTTCTAACCCTAATGGAATTCATTCGAGCCTATTGTGTAATTTTATGAATACAGATTTAAACCTTTATGTATTCAATTATATTTTTGTCCACTGAAATTAAAATTGAACCTTCTAAACTTTAGCCCAAAGTTTTTAATAAAGGTTATGTGTTTTCACTACAAGAAAAGTGCACATAGACCGCACATAGACCAATATTTTTTTTTGCGATGGCCGCATAACTGTCGTTAAAAACACTATTAACTACACATTTTTTTTATTTACCACATACAAAACTGTGGTAAAAGGTAAGAGACGGCAGTTTTTAACCTTGGCCAATGTTTATACCACGACTGTTGTGGCGACGCACGTAAAACCGACGCAAAACTGTCGTAATTATTCCTCCTTATGTTTTTACGACAGTTTTGCGACAGTTTTAGATGCGTCGGCACAACGGTTGTGGTAAAAACATTGGTCACGGTTAAAAACTGTTGTCTCTAAGCTTTTACCTCATTTTTATGTGTGCTAAATAAAAAAAATGTGTGGTTAATGGTGTTTTTAACGACAGTTATGCTGCCATCACAAAAAAATGTGGTCCATCTGCAATCTATGTGCACTTTTTTTGTAGTGTTTGATTTAATAGTCATAGTAATTTGAATATAAGTTTTATAGTTGATAGAGAACCTTACTGTTTATTACTTTTCAGCATCATGGATCAAGTTGATAATGTTGATAATGTTAATGTCGTTGATGTGAACTCAACTGTGAACTCAACTCCATGCTTGAACACTTCCTTATCTTCTAAACAATGGATTCCAGCTTGCCCCCTCATTGTAAACCTGATGTTGGCATGTCTTTCCCCTCATTAGGAGATGCTTTGATCTTTTACAATCAGTATGCTTCTTTATGTGGATTTGAAGTGCGTTTAGGAACTAATAATAAGTATAAAGATGGTACTGTTTTGAGGAAGTATTTTCTGTGCAACAAACATGGATTTAAAGAGGATAGTGACAGTAATCAAAAGCGTGTTCTTAAAGCTGAAAAACTGAAATCTTGTGAAAGTAAATCTCGCCGAACTGCCCTAAAGAGAACTGGTTGTGGTGCTTGTATGAAAGTGCGTTTTTCTTCTGGTTCGAATGAAGTGTACTATTTTTATGAGGCACATACACATGAGTTTACTACGCCAAAAAGTCAAATGTTTCAAAAGCAAAACCTTAATCTAACTTCCTGCATAAGAAATTTATTTTTGACAATGCAAAGCTCAATAAGGGTGCAAGTTTATCTTTTCATATGATGAAAGAGCATGTGGGTGGGTATGCAAATGTTGGCACTTCGTTGGTTGATTTCAAGAACTGTAATCGTGATTTGAAGACATATGTTAAATATGGAGATGCGCATATGTTTATAGACTGTTTTAAGCAAAAGGTTGCTCATTCGAGTGGGTTCTTTTTTGATTTTGTGGTAGATGAGAATCAGAGATTGACTAGGGTTTTTTGGGCAGATGTTTTATGTAGGAAACATTATTCTTTGTTTGGTTATATGGTTACATTTGATTCCACATTTAGCACCAATAAATATTCTATGATTTTTGCACCTTTTACTGGGGTTGATAACCATCGAAAATGCATTACATTTGGTTGTTCCCTAATTGTAAATGAAGATGTTGATTCATATACATGAGTTTTTGATACGTTCTTGCGTTGTAGGGGTGGTTGTGAGCCCGTAAGTATTGTGACAGATCAAGACCCTGCTATGAAAATAGCCATACCCAAAGTCTTTCAAAAGTCAAAGCACAGGTTTTGCATGTGACACATAATGAAGAAAGTCCGTGAAAAAGTAGGGTATAAACTTTGTGATGAAACTGATTTTCTTCTCCGTTTGAATGCTGTTGTTTGGAATCGTGAACTAGAACCTGATGAATTTGTTAGTGGTTGGTTGTCTGTTATTGGTGAATTTGCATTGCAAAAACACGATTGGTTTCTGAATTTGTTTGATATTTGAGACATGTGGATTCGTGCCTATTTTAGAGACATTTTTTAGGTGGAATTTTAAGATCTACTCAAAGATCAGAGAGTGAAAATAATTTTTTTAACCACTTCTTAAACCCATTCATATCGTTGGTTGAATTTGCATCTCGCTTTCAAACTGCCATAGAGTCTCAACGCTATCACCATGACTAGTTGCACGCTAATTCCAAGAAATGATTTCCTCAATTATATTGCTAACACCATTACCAATTGAAAAACATGCTTCTAAACTTTACACCCTCACTGTTTTTTACCTGTTTCAAACTGAGTGGAAAGCTGCTTGTTTTTCTTGTGGTATTCAAAGTTTTATTACTGATGAATTGGACTGGGATCATGTGTCTGTTGTTGATATTCTTCGTGGGAAAACGTATAAAGTTACATATAATCCCGGTGATCATGCTAGTTCTTGCTCTTGCAAGATGTTTGAGAGGGAAGGTATCTTGTGCCGTCATGTTCTATTCATAATAAAAAGTAAGGGTGTTCGTGAGCTTCCCGGTCAATATATACTGAATCGTTGGACAAAAAAGCTTTGGAAAAGCCTATTTTTGACTGTTCTGGGAACATATTGGATGAATGTGGTGCTGATTTGAAAAATAAGTTAATTGGTGGGTGATCTGTGGTCATCTTTTTTCTGTTGTGTTTCTCTTGCTGAGAGTTCAAATGATGATCTGCAGAAGTTATTGGACATGATTGAATCTTTCAAAGGCTCTATTTTTTCAAAACATACTTCCAATGATGTTGGAAAAAGTTCCAATGATATTGAAAGCCTCATAGGTATTAACTCTTCATCAGAATATAACATTCATCCTCTGAGCATTTCTGTCAATAAAGGCAGAAAAAAGAATGATTAGCAAGCGTGAAGAAACTATACTTAAAAAGAGGTCAAGTAATGTAGGAAAAAGTGATGCTTGTGCAACAGAAGATCAAGTCAAGAAGCCAAAAACAAGTAAATCTTGTGGTGAAGTTGGTTTCCATGATAGTACAAACTGTCCTAATGAAGAATGTGACACTTCTTCAAGGTAATAACTCGTTTAATATTTTAATTCTTTTGTAGTTCTTTATTTATTTAGGGATGTTGGGATATATTATCCCGGCCTATTACTGTTCAGGAGCCCAAGGCATTATCCAGTACGGAGCCCGAGCAGCTAGGTCCATTTTGGCCCGTTGTGGCCCGCTTTGGCCATTAGGCCCGACATCGGCCCGTTTGGCCCATTAGGGTGGAGTATTTCCCTCACCCCTTTCCCTATTTATAGGAGGTTTTCCCTCCATGTAAAGGATGCTTCCTTCTTCCTCTTTCTCTCTAGAATAGCTTAGAACTCCATTAATGGGAGCTTTAATACTTGTACTATGTAATGGTGAGGAGAGACTAATGAGAAAGAGAGGGCTTGGACATTAGCCTAAAAAGTCCCGTGGTTTTCTCCCTTTCGGGTTTCCACGTAAAAACTGAGTGTTCATACATATATTTACTATATCGTGTTGGATTAAACTCAACACTGGCGCCGTCTGTGGGAATCAGTTCAAAAAGATTTCAACGTCTTCTTCAGCTTCTACAGAAATTGATACGAAATGAACTGATTTTCAACAAAATATTAATGCCAGACGAACTGGTTTCAGCAGAAAGAAGAAAGATGGAAGAAGGAAAGTGGCGGATCTGGAATTCTTTTGCACTTGGAGCATCCCAGGCCATGCCGGAGGTATCGCCGCCCTGCCCTCACCGGAGCCGCCGTCGCCGTACCGGTCGCTGTGGGTTCCCCAGTGAGTTCAGCCGCATGGGTCCCGCTTATAACCGGTCGCTCGTCGCCGGCAGCTGTTCCCACCGGCTAGGCCGCTGCTCCTCCACCGGGCTGGTCTCTGCTCAGGCCGTCACCAACCACTCCCCTGACGCGGCCTGAGGGATTTTCCGACCGAGACTCCTCGAATTCCGCCATTCATGGCGTGTAGGAGGTCAGGGGAGAGAGATTACGAAGTTTCCAGCCGACCTCACACCGGAGATTATCCTCTCCGGCCATCCTTGCGACGCGTCGACCCTCTTGACTACCGCCAGCAAGCGGCCAACCCGCGGCCAGTAGGTGGACATGACGCTGGGAAGGCGAGTGGGTCTCGCTTCGATCTTTCCAAAAGATACGGAGTACTGCAGGTCACTCATATGCCTTGGTCGTGAGAAGACCACGTGAAAGAGAAATGAAGGGTGGTGAGGGATGAGTTTGGAGCATCTTGACCAAGTCAAATTTGCTAAAGGAGCTCAATTAATTTCAGGAATTCTTGGCTGGCCACATGTCTAGACCTGTCAATGGGTCGGGTCCGGGTCGGAACGTAGTGTTCCAGACCCGGACCCGCTAAGTAAATAAAGGACCCGGACCCGACCCGTTTACCCGGCGGGTCTAAAAATTTGGACCCGGACCCGGACCCAACGGGTCTCGGAACCGGGTCGGGTAGACCCGCCAAGTATCATATGCACAACATTATATAACTTTTTTTTACAGAACATTATATAATTTTTTAAAAATAGTAAAACATGTATATGAAATGTAAATCAAAGTGCACAGATTTAAAAGAAAAATATATCTTCACTTTTCAAAAAAAAATCAAGGTTTATCATAGAAAATTAGTACTTTTATTGAATAAAATATCGGTTCTGTAGATGCGTACAATTCCGCACTTTGTGTCTCTTTCTCTCCCATAGAAAGCTCGTATATTAGACTAGAAATTAGGTCACAAAAAGTTCTTTTGGACTAAAAGCATATTATATACTACGCACTATTATATTATCACTTATATATTAGGTATGTATTAATTTGTTTCTTTTTAATCAAAGAATTAAAACTAATCACTTTATATATATTAGTTTGTATTTTTATTTGAAGTATTATAACTAATCTCTTTATGTATTAGTGTGTGTATAAATACTAATAAGAAATTTTAAACGGGTCCGGGTCCTTAACGGGTCGGAATCATAAGTACCATACCCGACCCGTTTATTAAAAGTACTAACGGGTCCGGGTTCGGGTCCGGGTAAACGGAATAAAATAAGGACCCATACCCGTTAAAAACAACCGGGTCCGGGTCGGGTCCGGGTCTAGACCCGACCCATTGACAGGCCTACACATGTCTATCCCAAGCTAAGTACAACCATTTACCATTCCTACACTTTAATTAACTTACCGCAGTATTCTTATTATTAGTGTTTTATCACCATTATTAATAGGGATAGAATATCCCGAAATTAAATAATGTCGAGCAAAATTCGAGTGAGTAAAGCTCTAGTGATAAGTTATTTTTCCCCGTCATTTTAATTAATGACTGGTTGTTGTGGGCCCGTCGGCCCGCTCCTGATCGGCTTTAATTAGCGAGCGGAGTATACTTGAATGGCCTATGGTAGGATAATACTATTATTGCTACCCGTACATCACTATTATTTATTAGGGACAAAAATGTCCCGAATTAAATGATGCGGAGCGAAGCTCTAGTGATAGTTAGTTCGGCCAACATTTTATTAAATGTTTAAATTGCTTGTGGGCCCGTTGGCCCACTCTCGATCAGCTTGATTAAGCGGTCTGAGCGTCTCCAAAAGGGCGATGCCCCAACGACGCATTTTAATTTGAGGGTTGCACGTTAGTCCACACGGCACTACGTGCCCGATCGACGATCGTACCCCAGTATCATCTACGCCATTAGGCAAGAAGTGACTCTTGCCAGACGCGGCCTGTGGGGCCCCGAGGGCACCAAAGCACTCCACCTCGTTTTTCCGAGGGCAGTGTGACCAACTTGGGTCTGAGTTCGAAAACTCACAGACCGATGAATATCTCTATGCGACGTTCGGCAGGCTGCTAATTGGCCCCGCCGCGAGCTGCTACGTCCATTAACCCCGCACGATGAGCCGGGCCAAGGGTCACAATGACCCATAGGCCGGTAATCGTGGGTGATTAGAGAGAAGGCCATGCAGATGGTTATGTGTGCATATTTATTGTCGGGCCGTGCGGCCCGTTATCATGCTTATTGCGCAGCTGAACCCACTCGACGCGCTCGAGCGAAATGATTAAAAGACGCTCGGCTGAGTCTTGAAGACGTTCAGGGCCAGCTAAAGAGGAGACCATCACAGCTGAGGACCGTGAGACGAGCATCTCCACCCCAGAGACCGATGGCCTAGGAAAGAACACCTAGAGGCCGAGGGTCTAGAGGGAGCTGCCACGGCGAAGAACCGTGAGACGATCATCCATCATTCAGAGGCTGAAGGCCTAGAGAAGACCGTCACGGCCGAGGGCCAACTGACACAATCATATCACGACCGGCCTCTCGGCACGGCGTGATTACGATCTTTTGAAGACCGACCTCGTCCCCGCCCTCGCGGACGAGGACCGTTGCTTGATTTTCTCGGATCGGCCGCTCATTGCCGACACCATTATACCACGACCGGCCACTCGGCTCGGCGTGTTCATCTTGGAAGACCGGCCTCGTCCCCACACCTCGCGGACGAGGACCGCTGCTTGGTTCTTTCAGGTCGGCCTATCATTGCCGACACCATTATATCACGACCGGCCTCCCGGCACGGCGTGTGTTCCATACTTGAAGACCGGCCTCGTCCCCGCTCCTCGCGGATGAGAGCCGTTGCTTGATTCTCTCTGTCGACCCCTCGGCGCCGACACCATTATATATCACGACCGGCCTCCCGGCACGGCGTGATTTATCTTGTTTGAAGACCGGCCTCGTCCCCGCACTGCGCGGATGAGGACCGGTGCTTGATTTTAGGTCGGCCTCTCATTGCCGACATCATTATATCACGACCGGCCCCCCGGCTCGGCGTGTTTTCCATACTTGAAGATCGGCCTCGTCCCCGTTCCTCGCGGATGAGGACCGCTGGTTATCTCTCTTTGGATCGGCCCCAGCGCCGACGTCATACATGGCCACCGACCTCCTGGTACGGTGCCACCCTCATATTTGAAGACCGGTTTCATCCCTGCACCGCGTGGATGAGAGCCGTTGCTCGGATATATCGACATGATCGGACACTTTTGTCATCTCCTTATCAGGACCGACTGCTCAGCGACATTATGATCATTGTATATCGGCTCCCAATGCCGACCTTCTTGAGTTAGCGATCGGGCTCACCCCTCCCCTCCAGGAGGGTGACCATCGCCTTCGCATGACGACCAGCATTTCCATCGCCTCGTCATCCGCTTCATTTTGGTATCCCACCATCATTATGTGTGACATCACTTGTGGTCATTCTTAGAACCGATGAACGTATTTTCCTCCCTCAAAAAAAAAAAAATAGAGAAAAGATGGGGAGAAGGGGAGAGAGAAGCTCCTATGAGAGAGGGAGTCTTGACGAGGTATGCCTGATCTTCCTTCGCCGCGTATGACGAACGTCTCCCGACGCGGAGGTTAGTAGGAACGTGGGGGAGGCTAGACGTACCAAAGGGAACCTCGGCAGGATAAACCAGTTCCTCCCATTTCCCGTGGATCGATGAACACCTTCTGCCAAAGCAGAAGGCTAGTAGGGCCACGAGCGTGGGACGACGAAGCAGGGAATCCCGACGTGGATAAACCAGTGACCTCCTTGCGATCGTTGGATGACCGAACGTCTTCTTCGAAGTAAGAAGATTAGTAGGACCACGACAGGGACGAACGAAGAATAGGGAATCCCGACGTGGATAAACCTGTTCCTCCTTGCGATCGTTGGATGACCGAACGTCTTCTTCGAAGTAAGAAGATTAGTAGGACCACGACAGGGACGAACGAAGAATAGGGAATCCCGACGTGGGTAAACCTGTTTCTTCTCATAGTTGGGATGACGAACGTCTCATGCGAAACCAGGAGACCAGTACTCACGAGACTTGGGGAGAACGAAGAACCAGTTCTTTACCGGAGTCTGTTGCGTGCCGAGTGTACACCGCTTAGCGGTCCGTACATAGGACCACGGACACGGTAGACGAACGAAGACCAGCTCCATGGATCAGACACGAAGGACCAGTTCTCCACCGGAGTCTGTTGCGTACCGAGTGTACACCGCTTAGCGGTCCGTACATAGGACCACGGATACGGTAGATGAACGACGATTAGCTCCCCAGATCAGGTAGGAGGGACATCGCCCAGATGTATATCAGGCTCACCATGCCTTCCCGGATGGAGTCCTGGCAGACGATCGGCTTCTTACAGCCAATCAGGAGAGAGACTTGACACATCACCAGCACGGCCGAGGGCCGCGAGACGATTATCACTCACCGACAGGCCGAGGGCCATGAGATGATCATCACTATTTTTCTGTATCACGATCGGCCCTTCAGCGCCATCGTGTCCAGACTCACGGTTCGGCTCGCCCATTCCCTCCAGGATGGCGACGACCGTCTTATGCAGTATGATCGGCCCCTCAGCGCCATCATACCCAGTTCACGATTCGGCTCGCCCATTCCCTCCAGGATGGCGACGACCGTCTTATGCAGTATGATCGGCCCTTCAGCGCCATCATACCCAGTTCACGATTCGGCTCGCCCATTCCCTCCAGGATGGCGACGACCGTCTTATGCAGTATGATCGGCCCCTCAGCGCCATCATACCCAGTTCACGGTTCGGCTCGCCCATTCCCTCCAGGATGGCGACGACCGTCTTATGCAGTACGATCGGCCCCTCAGCGCCATCATACCCAGTTCACGGTTCGGCTCGCCCATTCCCTCCAGGATGGCGACGACCGTCTTATGCAGTATGATCGGCCCCTCAGCGCCATCATACCCAGCTCACGTTCAGCTCGTCCATCCCTTCCAGGGTGGCGACGAACGTCTTGTGCATCACGATCGGCCCCTCAGCGCCATCGTGTCCAGTTCACGGTTCGGCTCGCCCATTCCCTCCAGGATGGCGACGACCGTCTTATGCAGTATGATCGGCCCCTCAGCGCCATCATACCCAGTTCACGGTTCGACTCGCCCATTCCATCCAGGATGGCGACGACCGTCTTATGCAGTATGATCGGCCCCTCAGCGCCATCATACTCAGCTCACGTTCAGCCCGTCCATCCCTTCCAGGGTGGCGACGAACGTCTTATGCAGTACGATCGGCCCCTCAGCGCCATCGTACCCATCTCACGTTCAGCTCGTCCATCCTTTCCAGGGTGGCGACGAACGTCTTATGCATCACGATCGGCCCCTCAGCGCCATCGTGTCCAGATTCACGGTTCGGTGCGTCCATTCCCTCCAGGATGGCGACGACCGTCTTATGCAGTACGATCGGCCCCTCAGCGCCATCGTACCCATCTCACGTTCAGCTCGTCCATCCTTTCCAGGGTGGCGACAAACGTCTTATGCATCACGATCGGCCCCTCAGCGCCATCGTGTCCAGATTCACGGTTCGGTGCGTCCATTCCCTCCAGGATGGCGACGACCGTCTTATGCAGTACGATCGGCCCCTCAGCGCCAGCGTACCCATCTCACACTCAGCTCGTCCATCCCTTCCAGGGTGGCGACGAACGTCTTATGCAGCACGATCGGCCTCTCAGCGCAATCGTGTCTGGCTCATGTTCGGCTCGCCCATCCCTTTCAGGATGGCGACGAACGTCTCTTATGCAGCACAATCGGCCCCGCCGTGCCATTGTGTCGGGTTCATCTCCGGATTGCCCATCCCTTCTAGGATGGCGACGACCATCTTATGCAGCACGTCTGCCTCTCGGCGCTGACATGCTCGAGTTCTCGTTGAGAGCTACCGCTCCGATCACATCTTGCATTCCTTCTCTCATACATTGCACCCATACATTACATGCATTCATGCATTCATGCATCATACCTCATACATTCATACATACACACGTGCATCATGATTTGACAGTACCGCGACGTCAGTTTATAGATGCATGGACCTCTAAGCTTCTCCGATTGGAAAGCTCGAGTCAGAATGCTTTACTCCCGCCTGATGCATTCAGGCGGAGTGTGCCCGTGGAGGAGCACCCTTCGCCCGACCCTGTCGGGAAGGGGGGTGCCTCACTGGTAGATTACGTTCAGGAGTGCAGACACTCACTCATATATTATGATTATGTGAAGACACGGTTTCCAGCAAGACAGAGGAAGAGCGCAGGCAAGAGTATATTTTCTCGAGCAGATTCGCACACTCACTACTCAAGAAACTGGGGGACTTGTGTTGGGATATATTATCCCGGCCTATTACTGTTCAGGAGCCCAAGGCATTATCCAGTACGGAGCCTGAGCAGCTAGGTCCATTTTGGCCCGTTGTGGCCCGCTTTGGCCATTAGGCCCGACATCGGCCCGTTTGGCCCATTAGGGTGGAGTATTTCCCTCACCCCTTTCCCTATTTATAGGAGGTTTTCCCTCCATGTAAAGGATGCTTCCTTCTTCCTCTTTCTCTCTAGAATAGCTTAGAACTCCATTAATGGGAGCTTTAATACTTGTACTATGTAA